GCACGATATGCTAAAATTATGTTTATACTAAATTTAGGAAACAGAAAATATGTAAATAGGGAGTTTCGGTTACATTTTGCATTAACGTGCAGTCATTTCCCTATGCAAGGCTCCAGGCTAAAGTGACCCGGAATAAATCTCCAGTGAAGTTCTCTGGCTTTGTGCATGCACAACAACCTCAACTCTCGACAACAGATGAAGTTTTACGGTTAAGGAGATGATGGCCGTCATGATCAGGATGCTGAAATTACATTGCTGTCGCTGCTGCTGTTGACATTGATGTTGTTCTGATGACGATGATGTAGCTGCTGCTATTGCTGCTGTAGCACTAAATGTAGAAATGCAATAAATGCAGTAATCGCGTAACGTTTTGATAACTGTATGGCAAGTAAGAGTTTGAATTCACTTTTGCACGACATTCCTCCGACTGACTTGATTTGAAGCTTTCGTGACTGCAGGGATTACTCTTTGGTTTTTTCGGTAAAGTCACGAATAAATAAGAAATAATAAAATAACATAATAGCGTACGACGTTTCGGTTGCAACACAAGCAGCCATCATCAGGTACAGAAGAGCTAAATTACGAGAGAGGGGAGACACACAACCTCAGATGTATTTATACAGACACCCAAGTAGGGGAACTGACACAGATACAACAGGGGACACAGAGAGAGAAGCATACCAGACAAACACGGTTTAGCAAAAAAAAAATTGGAAACCATGTAAAGCAACACAGACGGTCGGTCAAAACACAATTAACGCATAGTCCGGTTGATCACGCTATTTCAGTCAGTTCCCCCTACTTGGGTGTCTGTATATACATCTGAGGTTATGTATCTCCCCTCTCTCATAATGTAGCTCTTCTGTACCTATGGAGACAAGGACCTGGAAAAAGCACAGCTCAAACGACGCAAACGTTTCTATGAACTGGAATTCCTCCTGCAGCGGGGGGTGGTGTGGGGGGGAACCCAGGGCCCATGGCTAACACACGGCCAACAGCTTCACGTCACGTTGTTGTATATATAGGTGTTATGAAAATTGATGAAAATAATGAAAATTAAATGAAATTTGAGATTTGCATAATTTATCCGAAATTATGTTAATTAGTGTAATTATGCGCATAAATTATGCTGATTCGAGAGATAATTGTATCCATTTATGCGAGTGGGCGTGGTTAGGATAATGCAGGTCGTTATGGATTATCAGGTCGAGCCTCGGTGACCAGGATTGTGTTATGAATTGGAATGACGCAATTAGTCGTATGCAGTGACGCAGGCGTTGTGATCGTGAATGAGAGAGAGTCGATTCGACTCTGCTCTTTAATTCCGTATTATCGATAAGGATACGATTACTCTCGATTGAACATTACGAATTATGCGTGTTATGGATTATGTGTGGTGATAGTGTGCTTATGATAGGTCCCCAGGATTCAGATCTCATACGCAGAACAATATTATGCAGAATTTCAGGAAGAATCACACACAAACCTTCTGCTTTAATCAATTTTATTTCTAGCTAACTTTAATTTTTGGATAATATGAAAAACTCAATCTCGGGATTTTGGAATTTCAACACAGCGTTAACATGATACCATCACGATTGCGTTGTTTCACCTCGATAGCGGCACCTGTGGTTAATTCCCGACGCGTAACGCAATCGATCGGTTGTTGAGAGAGAGATTAAAAACATGCGAACTATTCTATCAAACCTTAACTTTATGATATGCAAACTCGTATGCTTGAATTGTTACACAACACGGCACTTGGTCTTTGATTCGTATCCAATCCTTAATACATTCTGATATGCGAAGTTATTATGCTTGAAATCGTCAGCACAGTACCACATTGATGTTCGTTCATTGATTCATAACGATTATGAATTTAAAGCGTTCGACTGTAATACTTCTAATTGCCTTATCAACACCACTCGATGGCCACAATGCTTCGTTACTTGAATTGTCACACAAAACAGCATTCGGTCACTGATCATGCGCGGCCCGTAATGCAATTATTGTCACGTTGTTAACAATAGGATGACTGATTATTATGCAACGCTACTCGTTGACAGGGCACTCCAACCAGTATTATTCTTGGAGGCACAAATATGCGTTTGAATTCGTTATTTCATTCGTGGATACCGGCAAGATTATGCAGAAAGACAAATATTAACGAACGACTCAAGTATTCCTAATCAACTTCTCAACGCGACTCAATGGGTGGCGATGTTTCCTTTTGAGATCCTTATCTCGGGCCAATCTTTTAATTGATTGTGGCCAGACCCCTGACAGGGAACCGGTTGAACCCGCTCTTCAACCCCGCGAGCGGCGCTCCGTGGTGAGGTGCCAAGAATTAATCCTTGTTAATGGGTCAGTTGGTAATTTATGCGGTTAGAAGTACAGCCCCAGCACAATATTACAGAGGAAAATTATGAACACTCTTAAAAACGATGGATTATTCACTCGGTCGTTGCGATGTTTCCACAATCACGGATGGTTCAATGGCTTGAGGTTTTTAGGCTTTGTTAATGACCCGTGTGTGTGTGTGTGTGTTGAATGGTGTGAGTGGTGAAAGAGTAGGCCAATGTTCGGAATCGATTCTTTGCGTCAAGCAGACGTCTGGTTTGTGTGTAGTGGGGGGCAGTGTATCATACGTATCAGTTGATTCTTCTTTCAGTAGTTGGTTCGGACTCGACGGACGTTGGTGAACGAGTAGATGCGTTGTTGTAGCTGAGATGACCGTCTGGTAGACGGCGTTAGAAGCACGCCCGCAGCGGCGCGCTGGTGCTGATGGCACGCTGGTGGCGCGCGCTTCCTCTCCTTGAAGACGCGCGAACGCGCCCGTGCTGGTTCGCTGATAGCAGTTTCTCTCCACTGCTGGCTGAGCTGCTGCACGCTCTTGCTTGGCGTTGCTGGCCGCGCTCTTTCTCCTTGAAGATGCGCGATCGTGCCCGTGCTGATTCGCTGACAGCAGTTTCCTCCACTGCTGGATGAGCTACGCCGGCGCGCGCTCTTTCCGCTGCTGTAGTAGCTGACGCTGCGCTCGCGAGCGACAGGTCAAGTTTTCTTCTGCTGAGTTGAGTTGAGATGAGTCTTCTTCTGTTGAGCTGAGTTGAGATGAGTCTTCTTCTGTTGAGCTGAGTTGAGATGAGTCTTCTTCTGTTGAGCTGAGTTGAGATGAGTCTTCTTCTGTTGAGCTGCCCCCGAGGGCTGACGAGTTGGCCCCGAGGGCTGACGAGCTGGTTTCAATGCTGAAACGGCTCCTTTTTATGCCAAAAATCTCTCCCCTTCTCGGCTCCCCCTCACGAGGTGGAGCTATCTTTGATCTGATCGTATGTCGGTGGGGGGGGTTCGTGTGTCGGTGGTGGGGGGGTTCGTGTGTCAGTGTGTATGTTTGTGTGTGTGTCATTTATGACATGGCCCTGTTCGGGTCTTTCCTCAAGCCATAAACATCAAGACAACAGACACCTCGATTCATCTTGGTGGCGTCTGGTTGTCTAATCCCTCCACCCAGAGAGAGGGGCGGGTTCCCCCCCCCTTTTCCGTACGCGTTCCGACGCACAAAGAAATGGTTAAGATTTTTTTTTAAGTTTAACATTTCACATCACAGTTGGTATCTTATCATACACAGTTATGATCCTGCTTGTGATTCATAGTATTTGATTTATTTCCAAGTGAAGATGCTCTTCCGAGCGTATGCATTTTATCACGTTCTGCAGGGAAAGACAAAGGTGGCCGGGAGCACCTCTTTATACTTTTGACTTATATTGCTCAAATACCATTTGGTCCCATGTTCGCCAAGACTCGTGTTTGTAACTGCGTCCTCCCGACACCTCTCGGTTTTACCGAGGTTCGAATTGTTATGATGGAATTATTAAAAAGAAAAATAATTTTCATCCTGAGTTTAAGAGGTCCGTTTCCAGATTGTTGGAGTCCATATCCCTTGGTTCTGTAAGGTTCTATAATGGAATATCGTTTAAGGTTAACACATTATTATTAATGTTATTTTGCAATTTCTTTAAAACTTGTTTGTCTGGTTGCCGTGTGTGGGGTGGGGTGTGTCTCCTCATCAAACCCGGCTGGCTTTTCCAGATGGCCCCTTGTGATAAGGTGTAATTCCTGCTTCTCCGCGCTGTGAGAGAGACAAATGTGGTCGGGGTTGCTTGGAATATTGTTTAAACTCTTTCGCAAGTTTGCTCGTTGTCTCATTCCTTCTCGATAACCTTTGATGTGACTCGGTATTCTTGCTCCAAGCTTTGTTTTAACAGTAAAGGTATTAAAGGTGAAAATCATTTGATAGCGAATTAATCATTGGATAATAATTCACTGATGTGTCTGGTGGCCTGTTCTTAATTGGAGTGAGCGTTAGGCTCGCTACTTTTATCTTATTCTTGTTGTTGCCTTTTAATTTTTTTGTTGTTGTTTTACTGGAAAATAAGGAAAAGAATATGTATACGATTTACCCTGTTGGCGTCTGGTGTCTGCTCTCTTGGTGTTCTGACCTCGGAGGGACCTTTCCTAAGGGGCCCATCAACTCTTGTTCATCTGGAGATTTTCGCCGATAGCTGTTACATCCTCGCCTCGAGAGTTTTATTATTTCTTTATTTCTTAATGGTCTGTTTATGACCGACATCTGGTTTTTCGTGTTTCTGGCTTACGGGTTTGATTCATTATTAAAAAATATATATATATTGTTTGTCACGAAAGAAAGGAAAAAGAAATCTAGGTGTATGCATCCGTAAATATTCTTATGGATATTAATTGTGGGAAAAGGGCCGTATACAACATTCCGCCCTTTTAAAAATGATCGGTGGTCTGCCACCGGTTATTTTTAATATTAAAGAAAAATGCCTTTTTCCACCATGAACTATCGATTGTCTTCAAGTTTGTGATTTTTCCTTACAACGCGCGCGTACGTGTCACAACTTAGCATGATTACATTTGAAATAAGAAAATAAAAGAACAGGAAAAAGAGAAATTAAGGCAACATGTTACATCGGGTCTTATCAATTATTGCTTTGATTTTTGTTTCAGTTCCTGGGAAACACTGGATAGCGGTTTCGAGCCCGGTGGTACACCGTTTCCCTCCTGGCATCTCTTTGTTTAATGTTTACCAAGTTATTGGCAACCTTACTGCCACGTTTGGTCAAAAGTACAGAATAATTTTTCTCATGACCAGGTATTTTCGAGTAACCTGTGACCTTTCCATGCAACATCATCACATCGTCGTTTTGGTTCATCGTCGGTATGGCTTTAGCCAAATGAGCACGGTTCCTTGGTTCGTATCGGTAATTTTTTTTATCCCTCGCCTTCCCTGTGGGTTTATGTGGCGTGAAGCCATGTCGAGCGCCACCAGGATTAGTACACAACACGAGTTTTCGTGCTCGACTGTTGGGGTCATTTGCCTTCTCCGCAGCCATGTGCAGATTTGCTGACTCCGTACCACGATCCGATTCCGTGCCTCGATTCGATTCCATGTTTTTGCGTGTGCTGGATTTCCACACATTCCCCAATCCATCATGGATTTTTGTCTCCGTAACGCGTTTCCCTGGCACTTTTACTGTACTCTCACGCAATTTTGCGACACAATTGATCGCGTTTCCATTTACCAAACAAGCATGTTTCTCCTCCCGATCCTGTTGGTTATCATTTCCTGTTAGATCACGCTTCATGGTTAATTTTCCTTGTTCAATAGGTGTGTTCACCACGGGAGCGACTCTCGCGTTCCCCACCACATCAAAGCGTGTGCATGGCGCATTTAGTTTTCCACAATCATGGTTCCCCTCTTGGTTCTGTTTGTAACCTCCAGCCTGCTTGATTTTTTCCAAGGGCTGTGATTTTTTTTTCAGATCAGCGGACACCTCTTTCCCTGTCATTTTCCTCTCAACCAGTGTGAGCGATTTATCACGTGCCCATGTCACCCTCTTTGTTACAGCCAAGCCATGTGTGCCCCTTGTGTATCGTGGAATGGGGAATCGGCGTGATTCTGCTCTTGGCCTATACACGCCGTGATTCTCGCGATTATGTGTCTTTGTGTGTCGTGGCCGCCCATTCTCTATGTGCCACTGTCGACCGTAATTGTTATCTCGCCATCTGTGTGGGTAATTTTGGCCGGCTGTGTGCCGCTGCATTGGGTGAAGATATGGTCCTGCTCTTTGCTTCCACCCGTGGCGATTGTCGCAAATACGCGTCTCTGCACGCTGCGAACGCTCTCGGTCTGTGTGCCGTGGAATTGAGCACTGGTCTGACTTTGCTCGTGGTTTCCACGCGTTGCGATTCTCGCAAATACGCGTCCCTACATGCTGCGATCGCTCCTGCTCTGTGTGCCGTGGAATTGGGCACTGGTCCGACTTTGCTCGTGGTCTCCACACGTTGCGATTGTCGCAAATACGCGTCCCTGCACGCTGCGATCGCTCCCGGTCTGCGTGCCATTGTCTCGTGTAATTGTTATCTGACCACCCGTGTATGTAATTATGTTGGTAATCCGTGGGTGCTTTTTGTTTTCTGCACTGTGGGCCTGCGTGCATCAAATGCCTCACATGTTTTTTCTTTTCCTCTGATAGGCTGGTTACCTTGCCCCATTCTCTGTGTGCTGTGGAATCATTGTTTTTAGTCCGGTACTGCCAAGCCATGTGTGCCCGATCCACTATGTGGTCCAAGGAGGCTGTCTCTGGACTCAAGACCATTCCCACAATTTCTGTAATCTCTGGACTCAAAGATCCAAAAAACATAATTTTGAACCTTTTGTCACCTTCGTGATACTGATCCACATCGCCTGCGTAGTACGCTCTTTTAAATCGCATGAGGTAATCCCGAGGATCCTCGTCTGCACACTGGGTCATAGATTTTGCAGCGTTAAATCCCTCAGACAGTGTTAGATATTCTCCAAACTTCCGAATCACTGCCAGGCTCAGCTTTTTAAAATCGTTCCGAACCTCGTATGGTAGCGACTTTACCCATGATATGGACTGTCCATGCAAGCTGCGTTTCAGCAAACTCGCTTTTTCATCCGTTTTCCTCAGACCCCTGATCATTGCTTCTGCTTCTACCGTTACGATGTGAGTGTGAATGTCCCTGTTCTTATTGTGTGGATCAAAATAGGGAATTCGGACGAGAGCTTTGTCCATCAATCTCAGAGTGTTACTACTGAACGAGTATTCGGAAAGTTGATCATCGTCATCCGAGTCAGATTCGGATGAGTCATTAACATCACGGTGGCGTTGCTTAACATGATTTTTGTAGTGTATTTTGCGCCTGTAACGTGGGTCAACTTTGCTCGGTGACTCATGTTTGTCCCATGGCTCATACTTATGTGGTTTTTGTGGGGTGTTTGATTTATATTTGTCTGGTGCGTCGTGCCTGTCGCGATGTTTGTGTCGGCCGTCTGTGCGTGGTGTGCGTTTTCCTGGAGAGTTGCCTCGGAGCTTCGGCTCCGCCCTTTCTCGCGTTATTAGTACATAATCTCCTGGTGATTTAGTTTTAATATTCTGTCTCACTCTGACTTCGGGGTTATCAGTCCCACCTGTTTCTTTTCCGAAATTTTCCTCATCCCATAATCTCTGTTTGTCTGTCTGTGCGAGAGGGTCTGAGTTCAGCGTAGCTATTCCTGATGTTTTTACATCGTGTTCGCTTTTCTCCCATTTTATCCAGTTCTTAAGCAGTGTCCCAATGTCATCAATACAGCTCACCTTCCATGTGTCTCCCTGATTTGTTTGCTCTGTAGCAGATCGGCCTGACCTTTTTGGTACAAGTTCCCAATATCCCGCAATCCACTCAAAAATTACTCTTAATACGAGCATCTCTGGAATTTCACTTCAGAGTGCATATCAAAACAGTTGTATCCAGAATGCATCAGTTCGACTCATGTGACTCTGGTATTCCCTTCAGAGCACGTATAAAACACTTGTATCACAGGATGTGGTCAGTTTGACTCGAGCAAATAATCTTACTTCAATTGTCTTTGTTATACCCTGCTACTCTGGAATTTCCCTTCAGAGTGCGTTTTTTTGTTTGCTTTACACCCGTTACAGTCACAGGGTAACGTTAGATCATAAAACCTTGGTTAATACAACAGTGATTTGTTCCTTAATTCAAGCATAAACTGTCTGCGAGAGATCCCGGACGACGCGCCCAATATGTTGTATATATAGGTGTTATGAAAATTGATGAAAATAATGAAAATTAAATGAAATTTGAGATTTGCATAATTTATCCGAAATTATGTTAATCAGTGTAATTATGCGCATAAATTATGCTGATTCGAGAGATAATCGTATTAATTTATGCGAGTGGGCGTGGTTATGATAATGCAGGTCGTTATGGATTATCAGGTCGAGCCTCGGTGACGAGGATTGTGTTATGAATTGGAATGACGCAATTAATCGTATGCAGTGACGCAGGCGTTGTGAGCGTGAATGAGAGAGAGTCGATTCGACTCTGCTCTTTAATTCCGTATTATCGATAAGGATACGATTACTCTCGATTGAACATTACGAATTATGTGTGTTATGGATTATGTGTGGTGATAGTGTGCTTATGATAGGTCCCCAGGATTCAGATCTCATACGCAGAACAATATTATGCAGAATTTCAGGAAGAATCACACACAAACCTTCTGCTTTAATCAATTTTATTTCTAGCTAACTTTAATTTTTGGATAATATGAAAAACTCAATCTCGGGATTTTGGAATTTCAACACAGCGTTAACACGATACCATCACGATTGCGTTGTTTCACCTCGATAGCGGCACCTGTGGTTAATTCCCGACGCGTAACGCAATCGATCGGTTGTTGAGAGAGAGATTAAAAACATGCGAACTATTCTATCAAACCTTAACTTTATAATATGCAAACTCGTATGCTTGAATTGTTACACAACACGGCACTTGGTCTTTGATTCGTATCCAATCCTTAATACATTCTGATATGCGAAGTTATTATGCTTGAAATCGTCAGCACAGTACCACGTTGATGTTCGTTCATTGATTCATAACGATTATGAATTTAAAGCGTTCGACTGGAATACTTCTAATTGCCTTATCAACACCACTCGATGGCCGCAATGCTTCGTTACTTGAATTGTCACACAAAACAGCATTCGGTCACTGATCATGCGCGGCCCTTAATGCAATTATTGTCACGTTGTTAACAATAGGATGACTGATTATTATGCAATGCTACTCGTTGACAGGGCACTCCAACCAGTATTATTCTTGGAGGCACAAATATGCGTCTGAATTCGTTATTTCATTCGTGGATACCGGCAAGATTATGCAGAAAGACAAATATTAACGAACGACTCAAGTATTCCTAATCAACTTCTCAACGCGACTCAATGGGTGGCGATGTTTCCTTTTGAGATCCTTATCTCGGGCCAATCTTTTAATTGATTGTGGCCAGACCCCTGACAGGGAACCGGTTGAACCCGCTCTTCAACCCCGCGAGCGGCGCTCCGTGGTGAGGTGCCAAGAATGAATCCTTGTTAATGGGTCAGTTGGTAATTTATGCGGTTAGAAGTACAGCCCCAGCACAACATTACAGAGAAAATTATGAACACTCTTAAAAACGATAGATTATTCACTCGGTCGTTGCGATGTTTCCACAATCACGGATGGTTCAATGGCTTGAGGTTTTTAGGCTTTGTTAATGACCCGTGTGTGTGTGTGTTGAATGGTGTGAGTGGTGAAAGAGTAGGCCAATGTTCGGAATCGATTCTTTGCGTCAAGCAGACGTCTGGTTTGTGTGTAGTGGGGGGCAGTGTATCATACGTATCAGTTGATTCTTCTTTCAGTAGTTGGTTCGGACTCGACGGACGTTGGTGAACGAGTAGATGCGTTGTTGTAGCTGAGATGACCGTCTAGTAGACGGCGTTAGAAGCACGCCCGCAGCGGCGCGCTGGTGCTGATGGCTGGTGCTGATGGCACGCTGGTGGCGCGCGCTTCCTCTCCTTGAAGACGCGCGAACGCGCCCGTGCTGGTTCGCTGATAGCAGTTTCTCTCCACTGCTGGCTGAGCTGCTGCACGCTCTTGCTTGGCGTTGCTGGCCGCGCTCTTTCTCCTTGAAGATGCGCGAACGCGCCCGTGCTGATTCGCTGACAGCAGTTTCCTCCACTGCTGGATGAGCTACGCCGGCGCGCGCTCTTTCCGCTGCTGTAGTAGCTGACGCTGCGCTCGCGAGCGACAGGTCAAGTTTTTCTTCTGCTGAGTTGAGTTGAGATGAGTCTTCTTCTGTTGAGCTGAGTTGAGATGAGTCTTCTTCTGTTGAGCTGAGTTGAGATGAGTCTTCTTCTGTTGAGCTGCCAGTTGAGATGAGTCTTCTTCTGTTGAGCTGCCCCGAGGGCTGACGAGTTGGCCCCGAGGGCTGACTGAGCTGATTTCAATGCTGAAACGGCTCCTTTTTATGCCAAAAATCTCTCCCCTTCTCGGCTCCCCCTCACGAGGTGGAGCTATCTTTGATCTGATCGTATGTCGGTGGGGGGGGTTCGTGTGTCGGTGGTGGGGGGGGTTCGTGTGTCAGTGTGTATGTTTGTGTGTGTGTCATTTATGACATGGCCTCTGTTCGGGGTCTTTCCTCAAGCCATAAACATCAAGACAACAGACACCTCGATTCATCTTGGTGGCGTCTGGTTGTCTAATCCCTCCACCCAGAGAGAGGGGCGGGTTCCCCCCCCCTTTTCCGTACGCGTTCCGACGCACAAAGAAATGGTTAAGATTTTTTTTTAAGTTTAACATTTCACATCACAGTTGGTATCTTATCATACACAGTTATGATCCTGCTTGTGATTCATAGTATTTGATTTATTTCCAAGTGAAGATGCTCTTCCGAGCGTATGCATTTTATCACGTTCTGCAGGGAAAGACAAAGGTGGCCGGGAGCACCTCTTTATACTTTTGACTTATATTGCTCAAATACCATTTGGTCCCATGTTCGCCAAGACTCGTGTTTGTAACTGCGTCCTCCCGACACCTCTCGGTTTTACCGAGGTTCGAATTGTTATGATGGAATTATTAAAAAGAAAAATAATTATCATCCTGAGTTCAAGAGGTCCGTTTCTTGATTGTTGGAAGTCCATATCCCTTGGTTCTGTAAGGTTCTATAATGGAATGTCGTGTAAGGTTAACACAGTTTATTATTAATAGTTATCTTGCAATTTCTTTAAAACTTTCTTTGTCCTGGTTGCCGTGTGTGGGGTGGGGTGTGTCTCCTCATCAAGCCCGGCTGGCTTTTCCAGATGGCCCCTTGTGATAAGGTGTAATTCCTGCTTCTCCGCGCTGTGAGAGAGACAAATGTGGTCGGGGTTGCTTGGAATATTGTTTAAACTCTTTCGCAAGTTTGCTCGTTGTCTCATTCCTTCTCGATAACCTTTGATGTGACTCGGTATTCTTGCTCCAAGCTTTGTTTTAACAGTAAAGGTATTAAAGGTGAAAATCATTTGATAGCGAATTAATCATTGTATAATAATTCACTGATGTGTCTGGTGGCCTGTTCTTAATTGGAGTGAGCGTTAGGCTCGCTACTTTTATCTTATTCTTGTTGTTGCCTTTTAATTTTTTTGTTGTTGTTTTACTGGAAAATAAGGAAAAGAATATGTATACGATTTACCCTGTTGGCGTCTGGTGTCTGCTCTCTTGGTGTTCTGACCTCGGAGGGACCTTTCCTAAGGGGCCCATCAAACTCTTGTTCCTCTGGAGATTTTCGCCGATAGCTGTTACATCCTCGCCTCGAGAGTTGTATTATTTCTTTATTTCTTAATGGTCTGTTTATGACCGACATCTGGTTTTTCGTGTTTCTGGCTTATGGGTTTGATTCATTATTAAAAAAAAATATATTATTTGTCACGAAAGAAAGGAAAAAGAAATCTAGGTGTATGCATCCGTAAATATTCTTATGGATATTAATTGTGGAAAAAGGGCCGTATACAACAACGTGTTCTGTGCGCGGTCACGTGAGGGCTACCACTTGAAAAGGACCCACAGTCATATTTCCACCACTGCAAGCATACTCTTTGGTTCTATTCGGTAAAGTCACGTAGGTAAAAAATAAAACAACAAAAATCACGACGTTTCGGCCACAACACAAGCGGCCTTCATCAGGTGAAGGGAGCAGACTGTCTCGAGGACAGCGCTGGAGTGAAACACAGCCACGCTCAGACCGCGACCTTTAAGCTGTGTGCGAAGAAACAAGGTGCCTTGACAAAGGAATTAGCATAAAAATTTTCATTTGATTGTACATGCGGGTGAACATGCCGGTTGGCGAGGGGGGGGGAGGGGGAGTTTACCTATTGGTGGTGTGAAAAGGGAATTTTTTTTAAGAGCTGCGAAAGTTTGGGGTACCACTACTTGAAAAATATACTGTATCATTGAAAATTAGTTTAATGTTTGGTTCGATTTAGAACATCTTTCCAATGGTTGCTTAATTTGAAACCATCTTCTCATCTTAGCTGCAGCGGGTGGACATCAGAAGTGGGCAGTATTTTTTGAGCTGCCAAAAACTGCGCCACTGATTTTGCCGCGCTTCGTTCACTTCCGTCGCTGCAACGGCCTCTTGCCCATTACCCTGTCAGAGTCCTATTCAGCTCTTTGGCTTCTCATGACGTGACTTATTTTTTAACGGGTAAAGCATTCAGAGTCATTTGTCCGAGCCAACTTGCGTTTTTTTGCTCCGATCCCGATTCGCTTTCATTACATCGCTTTGGCCACTTTGGTGACCCAGGGGGTTGCACACTGCGAGCGAGTCTCTACTCCTGCTCTCTTGAAGTCTCATTTGCCCGCTTTAACAAACATGAACGTGAAACGCGGTACATGATATGTCTGAACACAATGGGATATCAAACAGTAAAGGCTTAATCCAGCAAAATAGTTTTACATTGAATAGGTTATCCCTGTAAAAAATAATGACAGTCCCGATGTCGCATTCCGCTTAGTTGGAGTCGTTTGCAACGAGCGTAGGAGTGGCGCGTCCGCACGTCTAGACGCCATCGGCTAAACGCGATTCTCCTTTCTCACGAAGGCCTCGATTATAACGGTACCGACTGTGCACCCAATCTTGAACTGGTGAGAAAAGCGATGGCTTCTCTGTCATTGTCAGTGCTTTGGATTCACCACTCTGGGAATTATTTAAATTACACGACCCGCATCACATATCACCATATTTTATCCACATTTTTTAGGAAGCTGTTCATAGGATCATGCAAA